TGTAGGTTAAAGGACCCAGTTGTCCCAATTAGACAAAATAATATAATTTACAAAATATCCTGCAATGACTGTGAGGTCAACTACATAGGTCAAACTAGTAGGTCAGGGGTAGTCAGATTGTCAGAACATAAGAATTTAGCTAAGGTAAGAATGATTGACCCAGAGAAGATAAGTAATTTAGAGAAAAGCTCAGCAATTGCAATGCATGCATTAGCACACAACCACACAATAGGGTGGGAGAGGGTTAAAATTCTAAGAAGTAATATAGGTAGGTCGAGAGAGAGGTTGATTACTGAATCCGTGTTCATCGAATCTACACCCAACACATGCAATAGGAATGAATCATCACTCATACCCGAAATATGGAAAATATTACTACCAATCAAATCAAGTGAAAAACAATGGAACTATATAAATGAATTTAGGAAGTCGTGTGATTACCTTGATATGATTATGAGCAATAAATTGTGTTCGAAACGTAAATATTACTGTATAACACTGTGAGACTTTATCAAAATAAAATTTACCCATAGTGGAATTACACTCTACCACAGTGCCCAAGTTTTATTCTTATATCAAGGTCACAAAAGCTATCTGTAATCTGTAACGAGGCAAAGCGGCAGGATTCGACGGAATTATTCCGGAGGTGTTTAAATATGGGGGTGACATACTAGCATATAGGTTAACTAAGGTACTAGGTAACGTCTGGGAATCAGAGACGGTTCCATCAGATTGGGGTAAGTCACTTATTATACCAATGTTCAAGAAGGGGGACAAGTCCTTATGTGATAATCATCGAGGAATCAGCCTGACGAACATAGTCTCTAAAATCCTAGGCTCAGTAATCATGCACAGACTAAGCAGAACTCGGGAGGAACACACGAGGGAAAATCAAGCAGGCTTTAGGCCAGGTAGAGGGTGCATAGATCATATCTTCACTCTCCGACAGATCCTAGAGCATAGACACACTTTTAGGTGTCCAACAATTGTCATATTTCTTGACTTGAAGGCGGCCTTCGACTCCGTGGATCGAAAGGTACTATGGCAATGTTTGACTGTGAAGGGAGTGCCAAGAAAGTAGATTGCACTAATCAAGGCACTCTACTCAAACTCACGTAGCCATGTAAGGGCTTATGGGGAATTGTCATCTGAATTGATAACAACCAGTGGTGTCCGTCAAGGATGTCCACTTTCCCCTTTTCTGTTTAACTTCATCATAGATATGCTAATGGAAGTATCCTTAACTGAACTTAACGACTTAGGAATCGACTTGTTACCAGGGAATAGTCTTATGGACTTAGAATATGCAGATGACATAATCCTGTTAGGGGAAGATGCTGACAAAATGCAGAGTCAGAGTCTTCTGAACACCTTGAGCAGCAATCTTCGTATGTTTGGCATGCGATTCGCCCCTGTAAAATGTAAGATGCTGCTACAGGACTGGACTACGTCAACTCCTAGCTTAGTGATAGGGAGTGAAGTGTTAGAACATGTTGACCACTTCACCTATTTGGGAAGTTGCATCAGCACCAACGGATTGATTGGTGACGAAATCTCAGCACGGATCCAAAAAGCTCGGGCTGCTTTCGCTAACTTACACCGTCTCTGGCGTGGGCGTGATATCCGGCTATCAACCAAGGGACGTGTGTACTACTCAGCAGTTCGCTCCGTCCTTCTCTATAGCTCTGAAACATGGCCAATACGAGTTGAATACATGAAAAGGTTGTCTGTTTTTGACCACAGATGTTTACGATCTCTTTCTCGCGTTAGGTGGTATAATAAGGTAAGTAATGTTGATGTTAGGCGTAGAGTGTTGGGCAAAGAGGGAAAATCAATCGAAGGGGCTATAAAGTTACATAGATTGAGATGGCTAGGTCATGTGTTGTGCATGCCTAACCATCGCCTCCCCCGACCGGCATTACTAGCTGATATAGGTGCAGGTTGGAAAAGAGTAAGTGGTGGCCAAACAAAAACATGGCATCAATCCATGAAATCCCTGACAGTTAAACTGAGTCAGGTAGGGAGATGCAGACTTCCGGGTTGGGGCCCACTCTCGGGACTCTAAGAATCACGGACGGACAGCACACATTTGGCTATCTACCGGGATCCAGTCAAGTAATGTCTTTTTTGCCCTAGTACTCAAAGCTATCCCAACACCAGCTAATCCTCGTGAGCTAGCTGTGGCATCTCCTGACACCCTCAAGGTGAATTTTGCATATTCATCCTGTTGGCCAGGTGGGGTTAGGTGAATAACCACACTTGTGTCTTGTATGCGTGTTTCTGAAACACAACATACATCAATGGCTCGGGTTGCCAGAGTCTTGGCTAGTGATGCTTGTTGTCCTATTTGGCAAAGTGTCCTAACATTAAATGCTCCTATATGAAATTGGTGGCGTGGCTTTAGGAGACTATCGGTGGTGGTTTTTTGGCTTCCGTCGTTTTCAGTGCACACAGAGTGAAGAGCCATTAAGTAGAGGAGTTGCATTAGTAGAAGGAAGGCAAGATAATAGAGATGAAGATGAAGACAAAGATGAGTGAGGATTTTAGAGGTTTTGCGTGCATTTCGGATTGTGAGGGCGATTGTTACCTCCCGGCTGCCCACACCGTGGAAGTTGGTTGCGTGACCGCAGAGCCCAGGGTACAACTGCTTGAGGCCGGTCACACGCGGCCTGTTTTTGTTTGTTGTTTTTAATTTGGTGTGTCTCAATAGCACATTTATCACTTCTGTCCTGTGACACGGCAGCAGGAAGCGCGGTCGTTGTGAATCCGGGCACCGACCGGTCTGGCATGATATTTTGTGATTTACTTTGAGTCATAGCATTGGGTTGGGTAACTGCTATTTGTCTAACCGCTATCCAAACAACCTTTCTGGCATGGTAGGACCTCAAGCGACATAAGTCTCAGCCAGTATAGCTTGTTGGGTCATTGCGGTGTTCAAGCCCGACCACCACGTCAAGGTAGCAGCTTTCGGTCGGATTGATGGTGACTAGCAGTGGTATCTAGGAGACCCATTTCATGGCCGCCCAATGTAAAAGACTTTGGATCTTCAAACAACAGCTGCTAGGTTTCAAAGTCTCAATGGAAACACCTTCAATCACTGGAGGTGTAAATAAATTCATCGAACTAACGACTCTCTCAAAATGACATACTACACAGTCGGAAGCTGTAGTTTAGCTTTATTTCTGTGTATAAGGGTTTTTAATATGAGTGAGCACGTGAACAACTAAAAGGACACTTTATTTGTGGAATAAATTAGAAGAAAACTGCACTTTTCTTTGTCGTGGTTAATGAACATTACTTTGAGATTTCACATATTAAATGTGGCGCATACTTGTAGTGCGTAATGCAGGCGCATTGTTTCTTGCTATTGTACTCATTCATGTTATAACGAGTTAACGTGCTAGATGGACATACGTTGGTATTCGTTCGGGCTATCGTAAAGCGACGTTCCCGTTCATTATTGCTACTCTACTCTTCTACAGCGAATAATTCTTGATGATTTTTTGCAAGAAGTTGATGCTGTACGAGTCAGTTGTTATGTATAAAATTAGCGAAATAGCCTGGGTGGATGTATTAAAAGTACCTCATATAGACCGATTAAAATACGCAAGGTCACTTACCCGGGGTGGAGACCCTTCATCATTTATTACTATGTTTATCGTCAGAACAATGTGCCCATACTAATTAAAACTTCTGCTTTGCAAAGCGACCCCCTGCGACATCAATACTGAGACAAAACTAACATTCAATGTATCAGAATTTATTATCATATAAGAATGAGTATAAATTCTTGTAAATCGATTTATTCGATGATATTCATGTAGAGGATGCCAAACGTCCAAAGTTAACGTACTCGAGGTTAGAAATATTAGTGTTCTAGGATACGTTTGTGGACTTGACGCCGTGTATGACTGATATACTTTGCTGTACAGGAATGACATATTTTAAAAAACTCTCCAGCCTCACTAGTTAGGGAAGAAAAGGAAAACATCAGTAGTTCTATCCTTGAACACCTTTTCAACTCTGGATGCCAGACATCCCCACATGATTGCTTCACAGAGTTTCTCAATATCACACGAAGGGACTTCGTGTACGATGTTTATACGTGGCTATTCGAGACCTGAAACCGGGCCTATGTGTTCAGAAGAACTACAAATATTCACTTGTCTTGCCGTGGCCGGAGTCACGTTCTTATCATTAATCATTTAGACTTATTCATTTTCAATTCATTAGCACTCTGATACAGGTTTTTTCTGTATAAAGACAATTGGTGATAAGGCTCAAAATCGTTCTCAATGGCGCAGATGCGTCCACTCCTTGTGACTTATAATACCCAATAAACTATCTCTATTTTGCATTTCTTTTCACTTCTCTTGCTTTGTGTGCGACATGGAGTGTAGCGACTCGAACTGCTGCATATGTGCAAAGTTCTTTGTTGAAACCATTCAGTCATTTGTTTGAGATGATATTATGAAATACCAACATATCGTGTCGTTTTCATCGACTTGAGTGACTTTATTTTATTTAGGCATTCAACTGATGCATAAAGCAAGATAAATAACTGTAGCCGTTGTATCTCGTGTTAGTGTTAATTCATATGCACAGAAAAATCCATAACTGTCAGGTGGTTGTAGGCAACCGGCTTTGTGTTCCGTCTGAGATTCGAACTCTCGTCACTCAGTGCTGCAGTCCGAGACGTTTCCACTGAGGTATTCGGTTTCACGATTGACTTACTTTACGAAGTTGATGGATGAATTGATCAACTATAGAATAAATTTACTCCATAAATGGAATGATACATTAATCAGTCACTAGGGTGTAACCAGTGCCATAAATCTAGACCGTAGTGTTGGCGCAGACTGAATTCTATCGGTCATAACCGAATACTTCACAAATAGACTACATGCAGTTCCAGCACATTTTTAGTTAATCTGATTTCCGTCCATGTTTATTTGGTAAAAGGTCTTTCAGAATTCATCTTTCTTTTTTCCATTTCTAAGGGGCTCATCCGATGAGTAGTAGCACTGCATTGTGTTGGATAAGCGATAATCGTTTATTGAGTTGTGCGCATGATGGAAGTATTCGTATATGGCGTTTATAAAGTGTCCTTATCTGCTACGATCAAAGATCATCATTGGAAAGAAGAGTGTATACAATTGTGCTTCTTAGAAAATTTCGTTTACATTTATTTCTTGTGCTTGCTTTTGTACCCACAGTCAAGTGACCCCAATGCTGATGCAATCGTCTCTCTTTATGCCCGTTGAATTTTCCGCCTTATGAAACTCCAATAACAGCTTTACTTTTACTATGCCAGCTTTTTATTCCCTGATGTGAAAAATTAAATTACGCGTTATTTGAATAAATCATCCAATTAAGCGTTTTGTTATTGACCACTAAGCACTTATTATTATTATTTTTTCCTTTAGTTCCTAGAGGAACATAGGGCTTCAGCCATGCGTCTCCATTGCGTTCGGTTCTCTGCTAGAGTTTTCACCTGGTTCCAGGTCTGCCCACATGCTTTCATCTCCTCTTCACATGATCTCCTCCAGGTCACCCTTGGACGACCAACTCGTCGCTTCCCTTCCGGGTTCCACTCGAGGGCTTGTCTAGTGATGTCACTTGCTGGTTTCCCCAGAGTGTGGCCAATCCATCTCCATTTTTTCCTGCCTATTTGTTTCACAATCGGTTCCTGGTTAGTTCGCTCCCAGAGATCTTTATTGCTGATCCTTTCCGGCCATCTGATCTTGAGTATTGAGCGAAGACATCTGTTAATGAAGGTCTGTAGCTTGTTTGAGGTGCTTTTTGTGACACGCCAAGTCTCTGATCCGTATAGTAGTACTGACTTCACATTGGAGTTGAAAATCCCGATCTTATTATTAGAAACAGCTTATCCACTGGTTGTAACATTCTTCTGAGTGATACGTCCGCACAGAAATGAATTTATACAATTAGCCAGACTTCGTAATAACACAAAGAAGAGAACTGAAAAAGTACCATACCACAGTAGACAAGTATTAGTGTTCCAGAAGGAATGATAATTTTGAAAGTAATAAATATCAAGTAGTTAAGTGTCTTCCTGACAAAAGATTTTGAGCATTGTCATCAAGAGTCGTCATTCACTTATTCTTAGCCTTCCCCCTTCACTTGATAAAGACGAATGGTCGACAGCTGTAATGGTTGGTGACTTTATTTGGGTTAACTACGCCTAATTTTTTCCAATTAATGGTTACTGTAACCAAGTAGATTTTCGACGGCATCGGGAGACTCACAGAAAGGTGTTTACATTTTATAGCTGGTTTATTTAAGTCCTTTAGGTCTGTCAGATAAACAGGTTCGACTTATGTGATTTCAAAGCAGATGTAAATATTTACGAGAATGAAGGCTCAACTTCTGCAGAACACCCAAAAATATTTAAGGCTATTGGACAATGTGACGCCACATTATAGACCAAAACAAATGTTACAGCAGAGCTGTAGTAATTCAGTGATCCTAGTTTCTTGTCCTTAGTGTCTGCATGACAGAATAAAGTCATCAGAAATCTATTCAGCACTTTACTAGAATGTATGTTCGAAAAACGGATGCTGCAGTACATTTGCTATTACTAAAGTGCTTTTCAAACTGACTCTAGATACTATTTGTTTGCCTTCGAAGTGAATTAATAAGAGCGAAAAAATAACTTTTATTCTACAGAGAGGAAAATCTATTCATATCTAGACCGTCTTAGTTGAATTCATCAAGTAGAGATCAAGGAATAAGACTTAAACGTATGCCTAGAATGGGAAACTATATATTGGATTGTTTGGAAGGCAACATTTCAGCAAACTGTCCAATGCAGCAACTTAACTTTAACTGCAGCAAATCTGATACTGATTTATCACCTGAACCAATATACATGCAGTGAATCAAAGATAAATTACGGACTAGTGCCTCTGGTGTGCATTATTAAATTGACATCATGGTTGCATACGTCGTACATAAATGGTCTTGTCCGTATCAGTCGATGAACATGTACCAACATAGTTAGGAAGCAGGGAGAGAGGTTCCATACACGGTGCAATTTTATCCTGTTTGTTAAAGAGCAAACATAGGCCCAAAGTAGGTATCTTCGACAGCATATTGTATTATATTGAAAGAAGAGGGATTATATCTCCGAAGCCATAGCAATCAATACCAAGAAACCTCATCTGTATATTCGGGAAAAATACGTGCACCCATGTTTATTTTGGCATACAATAGGGTCAAGAGACTCCCCAGAAAATAACCGGTGGAAGCCAACACGACCTATTTGATTAGCTTCATACGTTTGCAATACACGACCTTGCTTACCATGAATGTTACTACCAGGTACGCCAACGTACCACTTCTCACATTATGGTAGTCACGTAAATAGGACAGTATTGAAGGAATAACTGTCTGTTACTTGATTTTCGTTTGTTACTGAGTAGACAAACATTAGATTGGAAAAGTAGTTGATTTCTGATGCTACTGTCGTGGATTTTCTATTCGAATTAGTTTTTCATAATAAGGAACACTGAAAAATTTTGCTAATCAATGATGTGATAAGAACTTACTAGTTACAATACTAATACGTGTAGTGAAAACGCACAACAGAGCAAGTGTCGGTTGATCGCCTTAAATTTTCAGTGGAGTACCAAAAATTAACAAGTAACAGCTACTTCAAGCAGCAGGAACAATGGCTATTCTCCTGAAAATTTTGGGACTGTGTATGTAAACCGGACAAATCTAGTCACTTTTAATACCCTGTGCAATCTATAAACATCCAGTTACCTTTGACGCGTGGTATGGTTTATCTTCTACAAGCCAGTCTAATGATGGAGATTATTTCGAGAATATCGACTCTGCTAACGAAATATTCTCACCTCTTTCAATGAAAATGAATGTATTGAGTTTATTTGCACATAAATGCAAAACTATAAATGATTTATAACGTAACATTCCCACAGAACAAAAGTCTAAACAAGGCTACCATGACTGACTATTAAGAGCTTCTTTGTTCAAAGAAAACCTTATAGTACAAAATATGTCGAGTAAAAATAGGTGGAGTTAAAATCAACAGTTGAATTTTTTATTCAGCTATAATCTACTATTTTGAGGCATTCATCTGAAAATTCTACGAAAATAGGTTCACGCATAGCATTTTCCATTGCAGAATATGGTTTGTCAGTTTCATTTAAAAACCGGAGCAGGCTTCGTAAGTGAGGGTTTTTTAATAATTCTCGGATACGATCTGAATCCTCTAAACAAGACAAAGTGAAAATGAAAAATTGCATAAAACGCCTACTTAGCCGTTTAAGTACTTTTCTCGGAACATAATCGATCATATCATCATCCTCCGGTTCTACTAAGGTTTGTACAACATTTGGAGTGCAGTTCTTTTTTTCACAGCCATTTTGTTTGTGCGCTTTGTAACAAACAAGTGAGCAGCTAGATTCAGTAGTGAACAAGAATTAGGCAAAAACAACTTACTATGGTGAAATACATACGGGACATTTGTACTTTGAAGTCTCAGTTGTGCATATTATACACAAAGCCATTTGATTGTAGACAGTAAATCCACTTTGAAAAGTCAGCAATATAGCGTCGATTTATTACCTGAAATACACATAAAATACTAACACTGTTTGATTATTTAAACAGTATTTACATTCTTAAATGATAACCACGTATGTAACACTAACTGTTTTACAAGTGACACAATGCTACTATTTGATCTATTAACACGCAGTTTAGGTTGATAAGAACACATAAGAAAAATACTACATTCAGAGAAGGAAATGTGGAAATTATGTTATGTTCGAACTTTACTATCTGGAACATGGATTTCTCATTAACCACACATCGTGTGGTGAAGTAGATAGAGCAACGTCTGAACCCTGAACCTATCGTCTGAGTACAGTACTTAAGCCAATGAGCAAACAAACTGTGTACGCCTTAACAGACGCGTGAAGTGAAAATAACTATGATACTGAGTAACCTCGGATGATATCACATGTCACTAGTACCACATTCAAATTTTGCAAACTTAATTAAATAAACTATTTTGTCTTGTACGGGACAAACGCTTTGAACTGCGTGGATACGAGCCAGTTGTTTGATGAATTCGGGTTCGTGAATGATTGAAAGTCGTAATATCCATGAAGTTTCAGCAGGGAACACGCACGAATGCAGGTTAAATTATGGGAACATTGGTACATTAGGTGTGCATTAAATGACAGGATGTAAAAGAAGTGTAGTAGGCTAAGAATACAGGCGTACCATGTTACTGAAGGATGTAAATATCCTATGTAATATCACTGTTACACAGAGAAATTAACCTACACCTAAAATTTGGACAAAAATTGAAAGGTTTAGGTATTACGGTTATTCATTTTCGAGGATACTGAGGCATATGTAGTAACGGTGTCTGCTTATGAAATGCCTGGTGCAGTCATTTCGTGGAGGTATCTGAGAAGCGTGAGCCTTCCGTCTGCTAGTCTATATTGCGTCAGAAGCTCAGTAGAGACCTGAAAATTAGAAGACCTTACTGATGTCAAGAAGAATTCAACAGACACATGACCCAGGTGTTGCAATACATACTGTAGCGGTAAATAATTCCCCAAAATTATTGACCGCAGCACTCATCACTGAACATTGGATGCTGACCCTCACTGTTTAAGTCGACTTGTTTAGCTGAAGGCTTCCAGTCAAGCATCCACGTTATTTGGTACTCCGTTGTGTCACGATCCCTAGCTAGCTAAGCAATCATCTCGCATTCAGATTTGGTCCCGAAATATATCTCGGAGTTTAGACGATCAATTATTGTTTTGCTTTGCGTTTGGTCTACGCGGAACGAATACTATTGAAGTAGTGGATATTAGATCTTGCGTTAGTATACTTCGTACTACCCGTGAACGTCAATAAAGTCAGCCTCTAAAATTTCCAATATTATGTAAAACGTAAGTTAACGTAGAGTAGATGAAGTTGACTCCATCCACATAAACGAAAAGCGCGACCAACCTAGTGACCGGAAAATAAAACCTTTGTCATTAGAAAGCTTAGGTTATTTCCAAAAACAATTATCGCCATAAATGCGCTTGGCAGAGACAAGTCAGCTACTTTTTTACCATGGGAAAATGTGTCGGTTAAAGGTTAAGACGAATTATGTAATCGTTTATAACCGATTCATAACTTTTATAGAAAATCGCAAGAATAACCAGCAAAGGTAAAGGCAGACCACATTTTAATTTTATGGAAGTCCTAATGCATACGGATAGATAATCCGAACACCATTCAAGTACTATCGACAGTGTGTCTAAAGTATTAAGACGAGTATCACATGGCATTTCGGTACGCTCCTTACCCCAATTTTAACATCTTTGCAAACAGAATACGGCGCAAGCAATACAGAATACAAGATAACGAGGTTAGACCGTATAAAGCCACACAAAACGTGTCATTTCTCATGGTGACAATACAGTTGTGTAATGGAGACGTTCTTCAGCATTCATACCTTTTACATTGAAAGAAACTGTGGCTACCGATAAAAGATACTGTTTATCTCCTTGCTTCATTTTGAAATGTGACTAAACATTAAGAACACCACATCGTAACGGTATACAGCTTTCGAGATATTTCTTGGATGTATATATATATATATATATATATATATATGTATATGAAGGCACGAAATTTCTTTGGGCAGTTTAGGGAGGATTCGTTACAGAAATTCCAAGCTATCATTTACTTCAGGCGCACTGGAGAATCTCTGGGGAAGACTGCAGATCACTGTCCTACGTTCTGCAATACGCCCGAAGGAAATGCTAGTTGGGTTGTTTGATATGTTATCTTTTTGGATGATAAGCTTAAGGCAAGAGCATAAAATTGACACAGTATTACTGTTACGGAAAATGACTGATGTCTTTTGAGAATCGAAGGGCATGTCAAACTCATAATCCACCAATAAGTGCGCAAACATCTAGATCACCTCATGGCTTGTGTAACGGCACATTTAACATTTGCGGGTTTGCGAAATTGTTCAGATTCAGTTGGTAAGGATAGAAGGCTCTTGTGGCCTGTGTTAATCCTTGCAAAATATATCTCTGCAGAGATCTAACTTCTCTTTGAAAGCGTTCACCGATGGAGCTGTTACTACTGAATCAGTTAAGGAGTTCCAGTCGTTGACCACTCTGTGAGAGAATCTAAATTCTGCACGTATTTTAATCATCCTCGGTTTGAGCACCTTTTGCGGTGACCCTGCTAATGTATCCTAGAAGAGGAGAAAAGTTAAGAAAGGTCAGTTCCTAAATCACCCTTAAGTATACGGTATGCTAAAATTAAGTCGCCTCTCTTCCTTCGGTATGATAACGGAAAGAAATTTAAATGCTCCATCCTCTTATCACAAGGAAGGTGTGAGATACCACTAACTAATTTCGTTCCTACTCTCTGTACTCTTTCCAGGATATGTGCCTCCTTTTTGAAGCATGGACCCGCCGCTTGTACGCAGTACTCTAGATGAGGCCTGGCAAATGTTGCGTAGAGTATTTGGAACATGCCCTCGTCTAATCGTTTGAAAGCCCTTCGGAGTGCCCAGAGCATTTGAAAAGCCTTAGCTGCGGCTGCATTGCAATTTGCAGTTGTTTTCAAATCATTGCTAACAATGATTCCTAGGTCCTTCTGTTCGTCAACATCAGGTAGTTCTGTGTCCCCTAGGGAGTACGACGTATAAGACTTCTGACCTAAGTGCATTACCGCGCTTTTCCTAGAATTCATTTCCAAACTCCACAGGTTCGACCACTCAGCTAATTTATCTAGATCAGTTTGTAGGGCCGACCTATCCTCGTTATTATTTACAGTTTTCCATATCTTAATGTCGTCTGCAAATAACAATGAAGATGAAGTAAGAATCACCGGTAGCTCATTAACGTATAATAGGAATAACAAGAGGCCTAATACAGTTCCCTGAGGCACTCCACTGGATACTGCTTTCCACCCTGGTAGTAAACCGTTAACTCTAACCTTCTGCCTTCTATCCACTAGGTAATCCCTAAACCACTCACATAGGCATTGGTCTAGTCCGAAACCTTTAAGTTTACTAAGGAGACTTAAGTGGGATACTTTGTCGAATGCCTTGCTAAGATCAATGAAACCCATGTCCAACAGAAGGATTTTATCTCTGGCCCCGGTCCAATCTTCCCTAGCTAACAGTAAGTTTCTCAAGCAAGATCGTCTTGGTCGGAATCCATGCTGTTCAACTGCCAGTAAGCCATGTGTTTCAACATAAGCTAATAGCTGATCCCTTATAATAGTTTCCACTACCTTTGCTATGATGCATGTCAGACTTGCCGGTCTGTAGTTACATACCAATTGCCTTGAATATAGGGCTTATAATGGCATCCTTCCAGTCCCTGGGTAGCTTAGCCTGGGCCAGTGACATTTGGAAAATCTCCGCAAGCGGAATATTTATTATATCCGCCAATGAAATTAACAGTTTAGGGTGAATTCCATCAAGCCCAGGTGATCTACCTGGCTTCAGTTTAGACAGTAGTTTGAGGACCTTTGTGTGCTCTACCACAATTGAGGGCATCTGAGTGGCGATGGCAGTGACTTCACCATATCCCTGGGTGGTACTGTCAGAAGAGAAGACGTCACAGAACTATTCAGAGAGGTTTTCAGCCTTTCCTTCGTCTGACTCAGCCGTTTCTCCACTAATGCTTATGAGTGACGGTATACCATTGCTGGTTTGATACGTTTGATATACGAGAAGAGCCTCATTGTGTAATGAACACAATCTAGCACAAGCCGTCTCTCGTATTCTATACGACTCTTGTTAATCGCATACTTACAGAGATTTCGAATTTTGCGGTAGTCTTTCTGGAAACTTTCCCTTCCTGTCATAATAAATTGGTCCTATAAGTTCTTTCGCCGTCTTAATAGCCTCTTTATTTCACTAGTAATCCAAGGTGGCTTGTGCGATAGCTTTCGACGAGTGTACCAAGGTATAAAAGGTGAAGTGACACAATCTAGTGTATTCCTATATCCTACCCAAGCTTCCTCGACAGTCCGACTTGTATCTACTGACCAGTCAACTGCAGTTGCTGCGTTGCGGATTCCTTGTATATCCGCTTTCCAAATGTTTGGACGAGCAGATTTTGACCTGTGTATGAGAGAATGAATCTTAAACGTAAAAGCAATGACTATGTGGTCAGTGCTGCCAAGCGGCGGAAGGCGCCTAATGTCACCAACGTCCTCCTTCTGGTGTGTTAATACCAAGTCTAGAGTAGATGGAGCATGTTCCGGGTGATACCGTGTTGGTGCATGCATATGTTGCACGAGCGCACACTCAAGCACTGTCAATGTGAGCTCCCTATTGAAACAGGTATACAAACTAGTGGAGTTTAATTCCCCCCAGTTAATGTGTGGAGCATTAAAGTCGCCAACAACCAGACACCTATTTCTACTACCCCACGCCCTCAAGTGAATTAGAACGAAGTCATCAGCTTGGCTAGCAGGACTTCTGTAAATAACTCTGATCGTTAAAGTGCCTTTGTTCAAGTTAATGACGCAACTTGCGGCTTCACTGGTGCCGCTGTCATGAGCTTCTGACAACGTTGACCTAATCCCTATGTCATCGCGGATGTGTAGAGCAACCCCGCCACCTTTCCGACTACTTACTCTGTCTGCTCGAATGCAGATGTACCCAGGTATCAGTGTCTCAATGATAGCAATCACATCAGGTTGTAGTCTTTCAGATAATTCTCCTGATTCGGCGAGCTTATTCCTAGGACTACATGCATTCGTATAGCACACAGAAACATCTACATGTTCATCCGGCTTATGAAGAGAGGTCTCAGCAACATCGGTTTCCGAGACCTCACGACCCGAAAACCCAATAGCTTGAGGTCTTTTTCACCTTTCTCTAGCCTGGCCTTTAGTTCAGCCACGGATTCTCTTCTTTTGATTTTATCTTCTAAAGGCCAATCAGGCCTTATTTTTAAACTTTTATCGTTAATTTTGAACGTGTGGTTGAGGATGGTGCTTCTCTCTGTTTCGTTCCTTAAGTAGTCGTCGAGAAATTTCCGTAGCATCAGGGTTTCCTTTTCCGATCCTGATGGCTTTTCTTACGTGAACTCCAATTGATTTTCGGGAAATATTTCCCGGATTATGGAGCTAATCGCCCACAGATCATCTGCATGTCGGGCAACTGGATCTGTGTTCTTAGATTTCTCCAAATTCCAGATGATAACACTGTAACTAGATTCCGTGGGTTTCTGAGTTTGGCTGGTATTAACAGCCGTCGAGACCTTGTTGGTGAACTCAGTTACTGTTTCTTTACTACGTTTATTTTGCTTCTTACCTGTCGGCACCAACCAAGTGGAGTCAGTTTCTTCCACTTTGTTTTCGCCGCGATTAGAGGCCATTCGTGTACTAGACACGCTGCGCTTTCGGGTGGCCATTTCACAGGCTGGCGTTGCCATGCTGGCACTACTTGCCCTTTTAGATTTCCTTTGTCGTTTGCACTTTGTCGCAACAGATATTTGGGCACTCTGTGCCTCTTTTGCCTCTGAAGCTTCAGGTGGCGATACACCTTCAGTTTTAAAATTATGTCCTGAACCGCCATTTTTGGCTAAAACTTCTCATACAGGCTTTTCGATTACGTTTTTCGTCAATTTCTTGGACATCAGAAGTCCCACTGCCTCTTGGATGAGGACATCCAACGGGTTACTGCAAAATTTGCACAGCCACGGAGATGATGGCTTGCAACATCTCTTGTAGGCTACTGGTGATAAACCAGTGCAAACCTTGTGGAACCATAGGCTGCAGTTGTCACACTGCATACAATCGTCCAGCGGAAGGTGGCAGTCCGGTCATCCCCAATAGTTATTAGGACCCATAGCGCTAATTTGTTTCAAAAACACAAATATATGTACGTGGAAACAGTGAGGTTAGTACAAACCAAATACACAAAGTGAGAATAATATGAACAACAATTTTAAGAGGCTGCGGGTATCGACGTTCGCGAGTTGTACGGATTATACTAACGCAAGATCTTATACCAACAACTTCTATAGTGTTCGTTCTTCGAGTACCAAATGGTAAAGCAAAAGACCAGATTTTGTCGTCCAAAGTACGTATTATATTTCGGGACAAAATCGCGGGTAGAGGTGAATGCTTAGCTAGCTAGTAATCGTGCAGGCACGTGACACGACGGAGCACCAAATGGCGGGGATGCTTGACCGTAAGCCTTCAGCTAAACAAGTCGACTTAAACAGTGATGGTCAGCATCCAATGTTGAGTGATGATTGCTGTGGTCAATAATTTTGGGGAATTATTTACCGCTACAGCTCACTCCCCCCCTAGTGGGTTTGTGAGGACCCTAAGACATGACCAGCCGGAAGTAAAAAAATCTCGATGGTTCCCTGATGGGTGAAAAAAATCTTCCGAGCGGCTTGATCGAGAGCCTGCTGGTCTGTCTGCCTATGCTAATAGGGTGTCTGTACACAGCTTCCTCGATGTTGTTCGTTGGATCCCGTGCTTCGTTTGTTTCCTGTCCAGTGCCCGTTGCACCTGGAAAAGAAAACAAGAATGCTGAGAACCTTGTCAAGAAAAATGTACCAAATAAGCGTTTTTTTACCAAAAAAATGACATGCATCTACTATACAGTAAAATAATGTAAAGTTCAAAATATCGGGAAAAAAATATACATCTAATTTAATTTTATGTACGGTTATAGGAAAAATATCATTTACTTGTGCTAAATGACGCAACATAAAAAAATTGATGTGTCACTCAGTTATGTGAAATAGGTGTGAAGGTATTCTGGGAATCTAACGTGACGTCCAGAACGCGTTTTCTTGGAGTGATCGACCGAAGAAGGCAGTGGGCGAATGCCCTGACAGTCAATAGTGTGACCCAGAAAATCGAGTGAGTCAACGCCTATTTGACACTTCTGTATATTGATGGTAACACCATGTTGGCGTAACCTTTCAAATGCCAAGTCCAAGTGTCTAAGGTGAGTTTCCTTATCTGGA